CCAATGCCAGACTCCATTTGGCTCCGTTTTGTATGCTAGTCTTGGCACTATTTTGGCATACCGGTGGCCTAACACAAGGACATAGCTAGCATGGAATGAAACTTGGGCTTAGACCCAGGCCGGACGCAGAACAAAGACACGCACGTAAGCAGGAGCTAAACTATGCCTCAGGTTGGTTGGCCATGCCCAATGTACCCACTATCTCTATTATACATTTGGAACCCCCCCCCCCCCCCCCCCTTGCCCCCTTGGAGGAACATATGCTTTGGGCTTTCACCCCAAGCCTCCTTTAGTATCAGGAGTTAATCTCTAGGACAAACTCAAAACTTACTAAATATGAAATATCCTTAGATTGCGAATTTGGACACGGGACAAACACTATTGTGTTTAACACAATCTCTACATTCTGTAAATATGCCAAATGAGCAAATCTAGACACTTTCATAAATAACATTTGGGACCGAAATGAGATTAACACAAAAAACATGATAGTGAGGGTGTTTGAGAGACACGGTAAGCTATCATCCAGCGATATAGAGGAACTAATTTCAATACGCAAGGGTTCTTGTCAAGCGAGTGCAAGATAGAGCAAAAGAGAATTAACAAGCCAAGCCAAGTATGTTTGGCTAAATAGACATTTAGGAATTCCTTTCTTACATTCATCTGGCCAAGTATAGATGCAAAGTCCAGTTTACTAACACTTGAACAAAAGGGACTAATAAAGGGGTCTAGTAATACTAATTTCCTGCCATCGTGGCAGTAAGGAAAGAGTGTCCATAAAGACTGGCCAACAGATAACTTTCGATACCCGAAGTCACATTCGCGACAAATGGGATCCCTTAGATTTCCATACCACTCCATAAATGGAACCAAGTGGGCTTTCCTGTAGCTAGCCATCAGGAAGAACGAGGTCAAAATAGTTCCCGACTCTTCTAGTGCTCGCGTCCTTGTACTTGTAAGTGACGCCAACATAAGTGCCATGCTAGGAAGCGATCTATCCGGCTTTGAATTGGAGAGAATCCCAATGTAGGCGCCATGCTTGTTTGAATGTAGGTGGTAATTTATATTCTTATTATATTCATCAAAAATTAAATTATTTATAAGGTGAACGGATTATACTATAAATATTTAGGTATATTTAAAATATACCTTAATCTAGCAGTTTTATGTTTGTAATCAGTGTTTAATACTATATCTTAAATATAGACCAAACCTCTAAAGTTAACTAAAATCTCTCAAAAGGAAAAAAAAATGTATTATTTGATTTTCTTGTAATACAAGACTCCTATCCCTTTGCCCATATTTACATTTTCTTCTTTCCCACTTTTTTTTTTTATTATAAATTATTAAAACCATGAAATAGTTATATTTGTTTAAGCTGCCACTTAGAGGCTATTAATGTTTGATATTGCCATGAGATAACTCACCATTATTTAAGGGATTCTTTTGATTTTTAAATTGCAAATATTTGAATTTTTGCTTTGTTCCCACCAAGTTGCAAAAGCTATTGGAAGCAATCCAAAAAAATATTATATTCAAACAAGGCTATTGTTCCTAGAATAATCTAATCACACTAGTTGCAAAATTTTTTTAACTTATTTGTAAATTGTAAGTAATCAAAAAGAATAACTTACATAAAAGTTCAAATATAAAAGGTAAGAACTCTACTTTTCAATTAGTTAAAAATTTTGGGATATTTAGGGTTAAATATTCTTAGATTTAAATAGTAATAGGTTATATGACTTCTCGGAAATCTAAACTCTATTGATTAGCTAAGGGAATCATACTATATATTTGATTAACCTTTAGGAAAAGAATGGGGCTCTCAAAATAGTGTTACTTAAGAGATGATCAAATATAAAAAGGAAAGGGCTTATGAATAAAAATGTGCATTTTTTTCCAATTGGTTAAATATTTTAGTATATTACAAGGAAATATAAAAAGAAAGAGTGTATGAATAAAACTGATTAAGGGTATTGGGATATTGAGTCTTGGGATAGCCACCTTTACCACTAACTTTGAGATTTTAAGATATGCTACTGTCTAATAATTAGATTAGTTTTGTATTCAAACACTTTTTTAGTATATTCTAGTTTATTCTACTATTTAATTTGGATTGGTCAAATAGGTTAAAATAATACTAAACAAAAATTTAACAAAACAGTCTCATAATGAGTTTCTATTATTATCATTAAATATTATTTAATCTAGGTATGTTCTTACAACAATCTTGAGTCCAATATTTTGGGTTGGACTATGAACAGAAACTCTAACATTCATTTTTATTCAATCCTGCAAAAGCCTTTATGAAGCAAGAGAGATTTACTTGGATCTTAAAAGGAATCATCCACTTGCTGATGATTCCTTCCTCAGCAACAAACTCATCCAGATGTTTGGCAAATATGGAAGCCCACAAGAGGCACGCCAAATCTTCTCCTTTTCGTGGGCTTTCATGTTTCAAGCTTACGCTCAAAACTCCCATCTTAAACATGCAAAAGAGATCTTCGACAAACTGCCGCAAAAGGATGTCTTTGCATGGACATCCATGCTCTTGGCATATGCCCGAACTGGGCATGTTCTCAATGCCCAAAAAACATTTGATGAGATGCCGCAACACAGCCTTCTCTCATGGAATGCAATCCTGTCAGTCCACGCACACAGCTGGGATCTAAAATATGCCGAAAGGATTATCTCCGGGGTGCCCGAGTATGATCTCGTGTCTTGGAATTCCATTCTAACGGCATACGCCCGGAAAGGGCATGAACGGGAAAAATGTGTTTTCGATTCAATGGAGGCTCGTGACCTTGTGTCATGGACGACAATCTTGGTTGCCTTGTCGCAGGGCGGAGATTTGCACGGAGCAAAGCTTTTGTTTGATGCAATGCCGCAGCACGATCTCGTCGCCTGGACCGCGATGCTTGGCGCGTACGCACTGAACGAGGATGTCGATTCGACACAGAGGATTTTCCGCGAGATGCCTGAGATAGATCTCGTTTCGTGCAACACCGTGATGCGATGCTGCGTGATGCTAGACAATCAAAGCTTATATTTGACTCCATGCCGCAGAGAGCTCTCTCGTCATGGACAACAATGCTCGCTGTTCTTGCCAAGAACAGCCCCGGGGAGGAAACCAAGAGCTTTTTCTATCAAATGCCGGAGCTTGATCTTACTTCCTGTACGATAATGCTGCTCTGACAACCCTCAGACTTGGATCTTGTGAAGGCCACCTTTGATCAAATGCCGCAGCGAGACCTGTGCTCTTGGAACTCTGTTCTGTCGGTGTATGCCCAATCAGGGCATTGTGACTTTGCTTTAAGTCTCTTTAACGAGATGCCCGAAATGGATATGGTTTCGTGGAACAATATGTTAAATGCGTTTGTTCTAACTAGAAAACTACGTGAAGCTGCTTTACTCTTTCATAGCATGCTAGAACGCAACGTTGTGACCTGGGATGCTTTAATATCTGCATTTTCCCGAGAAGGCCATATTGTATACGCAAGGAAACTTTTTGATACAGCCCCTGACAGAGACCAAATCTTGTGGAGCTCCATGATAGCTTCCTATGCACAAGTAAGCACCACTGCCAGCAAGGCCTTTCATCTCTTCAACGAAATGCAGGCCGTCGATTCCCCAAACACATCGTGCTTCGCATCCATCCTGGCCGCAAACAGCCACAAAGGCAGCTTTCAAGCGGGAAAGAGCTTCTTCGCTTCCATGGTTGTGGATCACGCCATTGAGCCCACAAGGCAGCACTACAGTTGCATGGTAGATCTCTTGAGCCGAGCCGGCCACCTTCACGACACCAAAGATCTAATCTTAAGCATGCCGTTCGTTCCCAGTGCTCTCGAGTGGACGTGCCTTCTCGGAGCATGCAAGAGCCACGAGGATTATAACAATCTTAGACTGGGAGACGATGTAGTGAGATCTGTAATGGACGTAACCGACGCAACTCCCAAGACACCCTATGCTTTACTAGCAAACGTCTACACAAGCTCCCAAACAAAAAATCCACACTATATGTGAAATCTAAGGACTTACTCTCTCCTGTACACATGAAGTCATTTTAATCACCTCCGCCACAGCCCCCACCGCCACAGCCTCCGCCACCACCACAGCCTCCTCCACCGTGGCCTCCACCATGACCACCACCAGAGCCTCCACTGTGGCCTCCACCATGGTGGCCACCACTAAACATTGCTCCCGCGAAATCGGAGCGTCTTCTTGGCTTTCGCCTTTTTGGAGATGCAAAGAAACTGAAACACATTTTGGATTGATTGCTTGCATGCAAGGGGGCATAATCTTCTGCTTATACACAGGCTAGAAGGCAATTTGAGACTTTGACTCAGTGGAAGCCACGAAGAAAGCAATGATAGCGCGTGGACCTGGAGAAGTTTATGCAATCAGTGCCACGTCGTGACACTTCATCAGAGTGTTCAAGAAACGCAAGATGTGCATTTGTCTATCCAACCTTTAAGGAATACGTGCATAAAATCTCGTTAAATTGCGCGTGAAGGAAGTTGTTTTGCTTGCTTCATATGGTCAGGCCTTGTGGCCAATCAGATGTTCTCCTGCCTAGTATATAAGCGCAAGCCTCCTCGCATCGATTATACCTTTATCTTGCGCAATCCAAGATGTGTTTCGGTTTCTCTCAATCCTCTAACAGGCAAAAGCAGAGGCGAAGGCGCCCGTCTGCAGCAACAGGCGCCTTCATGGGGGCTGCCGGCAGTGGTGGCGGAGCTTGTGCTGGCACTGGCGGCGGAGGAGGCTGTGGTGGCTGCGGAGGAGGCGGTGGTGGAGGCTGCGGAGGAGGCGGTGGTGGAGGCGGTGGAGGCTGCTAAATACTCTGTATGAGAAATAGCCATGCATATGAATGTTTGTAAATATGTGGTTTTCCAAAACTTCCTCAAATAATTCGTACAATTTGTTTGTATTGAACTTGTTTGTTTTTTTTACAGCCAAGGATTGAGCTGGCCACGATCTTAGCACTGTTTTGGAACTAGTAAGTAGAATCTCGTAGAATCTATTCAGCAATTCTATGTACTTCAGGTACTATAGTGATTCAAGTAAAATCCAAAAAAAAGGGAAACATCCACTTACAATACAACGTTTTGAGCTCTCTTCTCTTGTCTGCTCTCGAGTAAAAGCTTTGATTCTTCTAGCTCTCTCTCGCCTCCTGTTTTCTTACAATTCGCGTCGGGTTCTCCTTTGGCGGGCGCCCTCGCCTTCCTTCTCAATCTCGTTGCCACCCGCGTCGTCCTCCGCCTTGTCCTTGGAATCGTCCGGGCTGGAGATGTCTTCCTTCTTGGACTTCTCTACAGTCACCTGCGCAAGACAAACGACCATGACAGTCCAAAACTCGCGCAGGGTATTGCTAATTGTACCTTCGTCTTCTTGGGTGGCGATTTCTTGCCACCAAATAGAATCTTAAACAGCGTGACCACCACGACGAGCGGGATCACAGCTATGGCGCTCAAAGAAATGGTTGGGAACTTCTCGGCCTTCTCCAGAAGATCCTGTCACAACGAAAAGAAAAAGTTAGAAGACGAGACAAAGTTCATGCTCGTGTGTTTTACTTACAAGAATCTTTTCCTTCTGTGACGCCAAAGCCGGGATGTCGGCAACCTTGCGCAGGTACTCAAACATCTTTGCCTGAAAAGATTCAAGGTCGTCACACACACACACACACACACAAAAAAAAAAGACAGACAAAAGAAGATAAAGGAAAAGTACCTGGATGCCGTCAGGACTCGGAGTCGCTTCTTCAATTTTTTGCTTCTCCTTCTCAGCCTCGTACTTGGGCTTCCATTTCGTCTCCCTGTACTCTGCTGCCACAGCCTCGTCGGTCGCCACCAGGATGTTGTCAAAAAGAATGCCGTCCTGCATCGTCCAGATCTCGATCCCTATCGCCGAGATCGGCTCTAGATCCTGCGTGTCCAACTCGAAGTACTCCGGGTTCGGTATTTGCTTTGGAGCCCAGATCCCCTTGTAAGCCGGGTTGTCGATCATCGGGTTGTAGTCCGGGTTCCTCTTCATGGGCCTCTTCCATTCTCCACACCCAGACGCTTCCTCACACTTTGGGTTGCTGATCTTCGGGGGCTCCCACTCGCCATCCTCCTCGTCGTCCCAGTCCGCGGGTTTGCTAGCTTCCGGATCGTCAACCTCGTCCGGCTCGTTGTCCAGCCAGTCATCGGGCTTGACCGCCTCCGCGTCCTCGATCTCCAGTGGAGCGTCCTCGTCCCAATCCTCGGGCTTGGTCGCTTCCGGATCGGGGATCTTCGCCGGCTCGTCCCAGTCCTCGGGCTTCTTGTCGTCGGGATTGGGGATGGTCTTGGGCGGGATCACGGCCGGCTGGAAGTCGCTCGAGAGGAGGTCGACGCTCTTCTCCTCCTTGCCGTCGACGAGGATCTTGAGCGTGTTGTTCAGGTAGATCACTGCTGTGTAGACGTGAGAGAGCTTGTCAGCCACTGGCGATGGCGGGTACTTGAGGTGATGCTCGATGTGCTTGTCGGATTTAGGGCCTTTGTGCTTGTAGATGACGTGCACCTTGTTGGTGGTGCCACATCTGTCCAGCCCAAACATGATTGAGTAGGGGGATTCGTTGCCGAAATTGACGGGTGTCCATTGCAGGAGAAAGAACTTGAGATACACTCTAATCCCTTCTGGAATTATAGAGATTGGGTTTAAACTTTAGTTAAACACAGAATCACATAAGTATAGAGTTAAATTATGCTTTAAGTTAGTCAACCGTGTTTAACTTACCCATTATTCTTATTATACATTTGGAATTCATCAAAAATTCAAAAGTTTAAGGGTGGTTAAGTGGTGAAGAACCTTAAGAGAAGATTAAATTTTGTATTTTCACACTAAATTATAACATTGGTATTGGAGCCTAATTTAATTCTCATGGCTAACAAATATAAAACGAGAACCAAAGTTGGTAAACCTTAAGAGAAGTACCATTGGTGACTAAAGGATAGCCTAAATATGATTGTAGATGATCATTCCTAAAGGATTGTTAAGCACCAAATTAATGTAATAGAATAGAAAAAAGGTTTATAAACAAAACCTCCATTTGTAAAAAAAATGCATGCTTTAGGATTTTACTTTAGTCCCAAAAATTAGTCTTTAAAACAATCACAAAAACTTATTAGATTGTAAATTTAGATGCAAGAATAATAAAGTGTATATTTGACAAAATGCCATGTTAAAGTTTAGTATTGTGGAGTTCACTATTGTATGGATACACAGGATCAAGAGATATGGACTTTGACACGACGATTTTTTGATAAAATGCCATACCAACATCTAGTTTCTTGGAACACCATGCTTGATGCTTATGCCCAAAACGGGTATATGGTAGAAGCAAGGGTCATGTTCAATGCAATGGTGGAGAAGGACGTAATTTCTTGGACTAGAATGCTTGCTGCCTATGGTCTTAGTGGCCAGAGTTCACTTGCAAGAAAAACTTTTGCCCAGATGCCAGGGAAGAATGAAGTTTCTTGGGATGCAATGCTCACTGCATGTACCCAAGCAGGGGATTCGGTTTCTGTGTTTGAGTTGTTTCACACTATGCAGATGGCCGGCATTTACAACCAAGTTGGATTTGTCTCCGCTCTCAATGCTCACGGCCAAGTTGGCAGTGTTAAATGTGCTAGAAGTTGCTTTGTTTCGATGGCTTTTGATTGTGGCATTCAGCCATGTCACCAGCATTACTCCTGCATAATCGATGGCTTGGCAAGAGCTGGTTACATTGACAATGCAAGAGAACTCATCGCAAACATGCCATTTGTTCCCACTTCTTTGGATTGGCTGTGCCTTTTAGCTGCATGTCAGAGCCTCGAGTGTGGAACCTGCGTATCAAAATGGGTGTCTGGAATTGCGAGCAGCAGAGCTATGTATCGTCTCCTGGCAAATGTATGCGCCTGGCATTGACAGAATATAAGGAAAAATAAACTGCTGCCTGGATTATGTTGTCAAATTGCTCAAGAATTTAACTAGAAGTACCAATTGCGTTTCATGCTTGATAAATTCAAATATTGACAAAATGGGAAAAAAACAAATCATTTGTCTATATAACACCCAACATTCCCAGGATCTGAGCGTGGACCTCCTGGACCAAATCACCAGGGGCTCTGAGAGATCGCGAGCAACTTCAATCAGACAGATACCTTGCAACACCTAGCGATTGAGGTGTGTGGAAAGTGCAGCAGGCAAAAATTGTGTTTGATGATCCGCTGAGGTGTTTGATTCTATGCGAATGTTCTCAAAACTCTTCATCGAAAACTATCAAACGACCAATGTTTAATGCCTGACGACGACCATGATAGGTACTAACAAAGCAAATATTCCTTTGGGTCACGATGCTCACACGAAGCTCTTCGGAGCGATGGAGATGGAACGCGATGCCCTCGTCATGGCAGCGTGGGGCTGCCTTCTTTGCAATCGATACTCCAGCCGACTCGATCCAACGCCTTGGACTTTTCCAAATCGTGCGGTGCTTCGGTATCCAGCCTAGTCTCGTTGCACCAAACGACGATTAAGTCAATGCAAGTGCTACGTCCATATCACCCATGTTTTGTATACACTTCCTTACAGATTGGGCTTCACAAGAATCTTAGACAAGCACGTTTGATTCCTCTGACAACGGCACGCAATGTAGCTCCGACCTCTCAAACTCCTTGAAGGATCGGTCACCAGTGATGTAGAACACAAAGGCGGGAGGGGACGTGTCAAGGATATACATCACTGCTCCAAGAGGGAGGCAGAGCATGGAGACGTGTACCGCAGCGAGTGCTGCCACTAGCCAAGCGAAACGAAAGCCGTAGCCTGTAAAGCGTCCAGGCCTTCCTGAGTACTGGGAGCGCCATGGCGAAGACCGAGTCGGTGATACCTTCCCTGCCAAAGAAACAGAAGAACATTAGAGAGCTTTGATTGATCAAAACTGTCACACCTGTAATCGAATGTCTGGAGAGATGGATCTACAACCGCTGAAACGCCTCCCGTGGAGCATCGAAACCAACTGAAGCCATTCTCCACGACACGGAAAGCATCGGCCTCTTTCGCCCGGGGACTGCTTGCTCCCCAAGTCGCGGTTGATATCAATCCTAAAAGCATTCACCAGAAACTTAGAGAACACCATCATAACTGCGCTCTACCTCTTTTTCCCGGCCTGGCGCATCAGGTCTGGGAACTCGAAATCGTAACAAATAGCTCCTCCAATCCGGCCGAGATCGGTCTTGATGACAGGAAGAATGGGATCCCCTGGAGTTCCATACCAATGGAACCAAGTGGGCTTTCCTGTAGCTAAATCCAATGGAGCCATCGGGAAGAACGAGGTCGAAATAGTTCCCGACTCTTCCAGTGCTCACGTCCTTGTACTCGTAAGTGATGCCAACGTAGGTGCTGTGCTGGGAAGCGATCTGTCTGGCTTTGAATTGGAGAGAATCCCTCTCCTGTTTGAGGTCGAGTTTCACCGCAGCCTCGGACCAGAGGACCAATCGATCGCCGGCTTGGAAGTGCTGGCTCGTCCTGTTGAGCATCACATCCATGTCCTCGTAGAAGAGGAACTTGCCCAGGACGCAAGAGACCAGCACTGTTTTCTTCATCGTGAGGGCGATGTCCTTCTGGAAGAAATCACCTGAGAAAATGGAGACCCTGGCGCTGCTGTAGAACAAGATTGAGAAAGCAATGGCCCCAAACGCCAGGGAGTGGCCCACGATGCAGCTGTGTAGCACGCTTCTCATCGGATTTTTCCTTAACGGGCTGTGGCTCACCTGTTAACTTGATTCAACCGTTGGCAGCCGTCGGATTGGCCACAGCCCGTTAACTTGATTCAACTGTTGGCAGCCGTCGGATTGAGTCAGGTTCTCTGCGAGAATGTGGCTGACAATTGCCAGGTTCTCTAGAACCTAGCTGCCAGCTGCCAGGTTCTAGAGAACTAGGCTACCAGTTGCCAATTGTAGAGAACCCTCTCATCCTCCAATAACATTATTCCACGTGTCCGTTAACGGTCTCACCACAGCCCGTTAAGGCTGTTCTCGGGCACAGCCACGGTGACAGTATATTCAAATGAGGACATTGACTATTCCATTGTGTAGACCAGTTATTTTTACCAATCCTTCCATTGTGTAAACCAGCTATTCCATGTGAGGCACCAGAACTTAGTTGCCAGCTGCCAGGTTCTGGAGAACCAGGCTACCAGTTGCCAATTCTAGAGAACCCTCTCATCCTCCAATAACATTATTCCACATGTCCGTTAACGGTCTCGCCACAGCCCGTGTCCGTTAACGGTCTCGCCACAGCCCGTTAAGGCCGTTCCCGGGCACAGCCACGGTGACAGTATATTCAAATGAGGACATTGACTATTGACTACCATGTGAGGCAACTAATCATCCACTTGTACCGCAGTCCCACGGTGGATACCTTTGTTCGTGGATACTCCACACAGAAGGACGTACGCATGGATGCCCAATACGTACGATTCCATGTGAGGCAACTAGTCATCCACTCGTACCGCAGTCCCACGGTGGATACCTTCGTCCGTGGATACTCCACACAGAAGGACGTACGCATGGATGCCCAATACGTACGATTCCAGACATATGCATGGATGCCCAATACGTACGATTCCATGTGAGGCAATTAGTCATCCACTCGTACCGCAGTCCCACGGTGGATACCTTCGTCCGTGGATACTCCACACAGAAGGACGTACGCATGGATGCCCAATACATACGATTCCATGTAAGGCAACTAGTCATCCACTCGTACCGCAGTCCTACGGTGGATACCTTCGTCCGTAGATACTCCACACAGAAGGACGTACGCATGGATGCCCAATACGTATGATTCCAGACATATGCATGGATGCCCAATACGTACGATTCCATGTGAAGCAATTAGTCATCCACTCGTACCGCAGTCCCACGGTGGATACCTTCGTCCGTGGATACTCCATACAGAAGGACGTACGCATGGATGCCCAATACATACGATTCCATGTAAGGCAACTAGTCATCCACTCGTACCGCAGTCCTACGGTGGATACCTTCGTCCGTGGATACTCCACACAGAAGGACATACGCATGGATGCCCAATATGTACGATTTCAAATTTAGGGGTAGGAATATACCTTGCTCAAGGGTATATTATACTTTTAAGTAACCACTAATCAATAGGAATCAAACCCGTGCCATTTGCTCCGATACCAACTGTAGCGCACCTTATCTCTCTCCCCTTAAGCCAACTAGAAAAGGGGCAATTGCTTAATGAGAGAGCCCTTAGTGGCTATTTTATCCCCATTTATCCCCCAAGGTTCCAAGGATCCACAGTGACAGTATATCCAAATCTCATCCCATGATTACATGCGCTACAACGGCCCTGTCGTGGAGAATCGCCGAGAACCACACCATGAGGAATGAGATCCCATCGATCCCCCACACGCCGGTGCTCATCACCAGCGGCAAGATTGTAACCTGGGAAACGGCGGGATGGAGGAAGGAGCCGACGCCGCCGAATCGATTCCATAACAACCACGCCGTGGTCAGATCGACGCGAATACCAGCGGCTGGGACGTTCTTGCTCGGTCAAAACGCTTCCTGTAGCCGATGCTTGCAACAAATGGGAGGAGAAGAAACATCCACAGTGCCAGTGCCCAAATTCTTCCCACAATTGGCACGCTGCTGGTGGTGGAGTTGTCCAGGCTCACCTTTCCCGGGAAGAATGCCAGGAACGCTAGGCTTGTGGCAGTGGTGTGGAGGATGAGCATCAGGAGAATTGTGAGCGCCCCAGAGCTCCATGAGCAAGAATTGTGCGAAATCCCTGATTTGTGGAAGAAATGCAGGAGGAAAAATGGTTGGAGCCAAGAACAAATTGCAACAGTTTGGAAACCAGAGAAGAAAGTGCACGCCACTGAGAGAATGGCCAACGGTGCCACCTTCTTCATGTCTCTTGGTGCTTGTTTAATTTATATTCTTATTATATTCATAAAAAATTAAAATATTTATAAGGTGAAAGAAAAATACTATAAATATTTAGGGAATATACTTTAATTTATTGGTTTTAATTTTTTCACTCATAAAATTCGTTTGTAATCAGTGCTTAATAGTATATCTTAAATATAGACTAAACGTCTAAAGTTAACTGAAATCCCTCAGAGGAAAAAAAAATTGTCCTACTTGACTTTCTTGTAATACAAGACTCCTATCCCCTTCCCGATATTTACATCTTCTTTCCCACTTGTATTTTTTGGATTATAAAATATTAAAACCATGAAATAATTATATTTGTTTAAGCTGCTACCTAGAGGTCATTAATATTTGATATGGCCAAAGATAACTCACCATCATTTAAAAAAAAAATTTGATTTTTGGACTACAAATTTTTGAATTTTTGCTTTGTTCCCACCAAGTTGCAAAAGTTATTGAAAACAATCTAAAAAAATGTTATATTCAAACAGGGCTATTATTCTGATTTACATAAAAGTTTAATATAAAAAGAAAGAACCAATTATACTTTATTTTTCAATTAGTTAAAAATTTTGGGATATTTTGGATTAAATATTCTTAGGTTTGAATAATAATGCGTTAGATAACTTCCCAGAAATTAAAATTATATTAGTTGGCTAGGGGAATCACACTATATGTTTAATAAACATCTAATAAAAGAGTGGGGTTCTCAAGGGAGTGCTACTTAAAAAAATGATCAAATATAAAAAGAAAAAGTTTATGAATAAGAATGCATATCTTTTTTCAATTAGTTAAAGATTTTGGGATATTATTGTGAAATATAGAAAGAAAGAGCATATGAATAAAACATTTCATTTTGCAACTGATTAAGGGTATTAGGATATTGAGTGTTAGGATAACCACTTTTAGCACTAACTTTGATATTTTAAAATATTCTACCATCTAATAATTAAATTCATTTTGTGTTTAAACACTTTTTTAGTATATTCTACTTTATTCTACTATTTAATTTGGATTGATCAATTAGGTTAATAAAAAATACTAAACAGTGTTACAAACAAATTATTCTTCTCATAATGAGTTTTTATTATTATCATTAAATATTATTTAATCTAGGCATGTTCTTACAACAATCTTGAGTCCAATATTTTGGGTTGGATTATGAACAGAAACTCTAACATTCATTTTATTCAATCCTGCAAAAGCCTTTATGAAGCAAGAGAGATTTACTTGAATCTTAAAAGGAATCATCCACTTTCTGATGATTCCTTCCTCAGCAACAAACTCATCCAGATGTTTGGCAAATATGGAAGCCCACAAGAGGCACCCCAAATCTTTGATACCATCAAACACAAAGACTCCTTTTCGTGGGCTTTCACTCAAAACTCCCATCTTAAACATGCAAAAGAGATCTTCGACAAAATGCCGCAAAAGGATGTCTTTGCATGGACATCCATGCTCTTGGCATATGCCCGAAATGGGCATCTTGTCAATGCCCAAAAAACATTTGATGAGATGCCGCAACACAGCCTTCTCTCATGGAGTGCAATCCTGTCAGTCCACGCACACAGCTGGGATCTAAAATATGCCGAAAGGATTATCTCCGGGATGCCCGAGTATGATCTCGTGTCTAGGAATTCCATTCTTGCGGCATACGCCCGGAACGGGCATGTAGAGGGAGCGAAACGTGTTTTCGATTCTATGGAGGCTCGTGACCTTGTGTCATGGACGACAATCTTGGTTGCCTTGTCGCAGGGCGGAGATTTGCACGGAGCAAAGCTTTTGTTTGATGCAATGCCGCAGCACGATCTCGTCGCCTGGACCACGATGCTTGGCGCGTACGGACTGAACGAGGATGTCGATTCGGCACAAAGGATTTTCCGCGAGATGCCTGAGATAGATCTCGTTTCGTGCAAAACCGTGATGCGATGCTGCCGTGATGCTAGACAATCAAAGCTTATATTTGACTCCATGGCGCAGAGAGCTCTCTTGTCGTGGACAACAATGCTCGCTGTTCTTGCCAAGAACAGCCCCGGGGAGGAAACCAAGAGCTTTTTCTATCAAATGCCGGAGCTTGATCTTACTTCCTGTACGATAATGTTGCTCTCACAACCCTCAGACTAGGAGCTTGTGAAGATTTTATCAAATGCCGCAGCTAGACCTGTGCTCTTGGAACTCTATTCTTTCGGCGTATGCTCAATCTGGGCATTGTGACTTTGCTTTAAGACTCTTTAACGAGATGCCCGAAATGGATATGGTTTCGTGGAACACAATGTTAAATGCGTTTGTTCTAACTAGCAAACTACGTGAAGCTGCTTTACTCTTCACGACGCCAAAGATCTAATCTTAAGCATGCCGTTCGTTCCCAGTGCTCTCGAGTGGACGTGCCTTCTCGGAGCATGCAAGAGCCACGAGGATTATAACAATCTAATACTGGGAGACGATGTAGTGAGATCTGTAATGGACGTAGCCGACGCAACCCCCAAGACACCCTATGCTTTACTAGCAAATGTCTACACAAGCTCCCAAACAAAAAATCAATGATAGCGCGTGGACCTGGAGAAGTTTATGCAATCAGTGCCACGTCGTGACACTTCATCAGAGTGTTCAAGAAACGCAAGACATAACACTACAAACTTGCAGTTGTCTATCCAATCTTTGAGGAATACGTGCATAAAATCTCGTCAAATTGTGCGTGAAGGAAGTTGCTTTGCTTGCTTCATATGGTCAGACCTTGTGGCCAATCAGATGTTCTCCTGCCTAGTATATAAGTGCAAGCCTCCTCGCATCGATCATACCTTTCTCTTGCGCAATCCAAGATGTGTTTCGGTTTCTCTCAATCCTCTAGGCGAAAGCAGAGGCAAAGGCGCCCGTCTGCAGCAACAGGCGCCTTCGTGGGGGATGCCGGCAGTGGCGGAGCTTGTGCTGGCACTGGCGGCGGAGGCTGTGGTGGTGGTGGTGGTGGTGGCTGCGGAGGCGGCGGCGGCGGAGCCTGCTAAATACTCTGTATGAGAAATAGCCATGCATATGAATGTTTGTAAATATACATATTCCTGGGTTTTCCAATTGAACTTGTTTGTTTTTCTACAGCCAAGGATTGAGCTGGCCACGACCTTAGCACTGTTTCGGAACTAGTAAGTAGAATCTCGTAGAATCTATTCAGCAATTCTATGTACTTCAGGTACTATAGTGATTCAAGTAAAATCCAAAAAAAGGGAAACATCCAACTTACAATACAACGTTTTGAGCGCTCTTCTCTTGTCTTCTCTCGAGTAAAAGCTTTGATTCTTCTAGCTCTCTCTCGCCTCCTGTTTTCTTACGATTCGCGTCGGGTTCTCCTTTGACGGGCGCCCTCGCCTTCCTTCTCAATCTCGTTGCCACCCGCGTCGTCCTCCGCCTTGTCCTTGGAATCGTCCGGGCTGGAGATGTCTTCCTTCTTGGACTTCTCTACAGTCACCTACGCAAGACAAACAACCATGACAGTCCAAAACTCGCGCAGGGTATTGCTAATTGTACCTTCGTCTTCTTGGGGGGCGATTTCTTGCCACCAAAAAGAATCTTAAACAGCGTGACCACCAAGACGAGCGGGATCACAGCTATGGCGCTCAAAGAAATGGTTGGGAACTTCTCGGCCTTCTCCAGAAGATCCTGTCACAAACGAAAAGAAAGTTAGAATACGAGACAAAGTCCATGCTCATGTGTTTTACTTACAAGAATCTTTTCCTTCTGTGACGCCAAAGCCGGGATGTCGGCAACCTTGCGCAGGTACTCAAACATCTTTGCCTGAAAAGATTCAAGGTCGTCACACACACAAAGAAAAAAAAAAACGACAAAAGAACACAAAGGAAAAGTACCTGGATGCCGTCAGGACTCGGAGTCGCTTCTTCAATTTTTTGCTTCTCCTTCTCAGCCTTGTACTTGGGCTTCCATTTCGTCTCCCTGTACTCTGCTGCCACAGCCTCTTCGGTCGCCACCAGGATGTTGTCAAAAAGAATGCCGTCCTGCATCGTCCAGATCTCGATCCCAATCGCCGAGATCGGCTCTAGATCCGGCTTGTCCAACTCGAAGTACTCCGGGTTCGGTATTTGCTTCGGAGCCCAGATCCCCTTGTAAGCCGGGTTGTCGATCATCGGAGGATACCACTTCCCCTTGTAGTCCGGGTTCCTCTTCATGGGCCTCTTCCATTCTCCACACCCAGACGCTTCCTCACACTTTGGGTTGCTGATCTTCGGGGGCTCCCACTCGCCATCCTCCTCGTCGTCCCAGTCCGCGGGCTTGCTAGCTTCCGGATCGTCAACCTCGTCCGGCGGGCTTGACCGCCTCCGCGTCCTCGATCTCCAGTGGAGCGTCCTCGTCCCAATCCTTGGGCTTGGTCGCTTCCGGATCGGGGATCTTCGCCCGCTCGTCCCAGTCCTGGGGCTTCTTGTCGTCGGGATCGGGGATGGTCTTGGGCGGGATCACGGCCGGCTCGAAGTCGCTCGCGAGGAGGTCGACGCTCTTCTCCTCCTTGCCGTCGACGAGGATCTTGAGCGTGTTCGGGTAGATCACTGCCGTGTAGACGTGAGAGAGCTTGTCAGCCACTGGCGATGGCGGGTACTTGAGGTGATGCTCGATGTGCTTGTCGGATTTGGGGCCCTTGTGCTTGTAGATGAAGTGCACCTTGTTGGTGGTGCCACATTTGTCCAGCCCAAACATGATTGAGTAGGGGGATTCGTTGCTGAAATTGCCGGGCGTCCATTGTAGGAGAAGGAACTTGAGATAGGCGATGCCACATTCTAATCCCTTCTGGAATTATAGAGATTGGGTTTAAACCTTAGTCAAACAGACAATGAGTTAAATTATGTTTTAAGTCCCATTATCCTTATTATGCTCATCAAACTCAAAAGCTCAAGAGTGGTTATGTGGTGAAAAACTTTAAGAGAATATTAGATTTTGTATTTTTACACTAGATATTAAAGCTTAATTTAATTTTGATGGCTGACAAATATAGACGGAAAACCAAGGTTGGTAAACCTTAAGAGAAGTACCATAGTGACCAGAGGATAGCTTAAATATGATTGTAGATATTTGACAAAATGATATGTTAAAGTTTAGTATTGTGGAGTTCACTATTGTATGTCTATGCAGGATCAAGAGATATGGACTTTGACATGACGATTTTTCGATAAAATGCCATACCAACAGCTAGTTTCTTGGAACACCATGCTTGATGCTTATGCCCAAAACGGGTATATGGTAGAAGCAAGGGTCATGTTCAATGCAATGGTGGAGAAGGACGTAATTTCTTGGACTAGAATGCTTGCTGCCTATGGCCTTAGTGGCCAGAGTTCACTTGCAAGAAAAACTTTTGCCCAGATGCCAGGGAAGAATGAAGTTTCATGGGATGCAATGCTCACTGCATGTACCCAAGCAGGGGATTTTGTTTCTGTGTTTGAGTTGTTTCACACTATGCAGCTGGCCGGCATTTACAACCAAGTTGGATTTGTCTCCACTCTCAATGCTCACGGCCAAGTTGGGAGTGTTAAATGTGCTAGAAGTTGCTTTGTTTCGATGGCTTTTGACTGTGGCATTCAGCCATGTCACCAGCATTACTCCTGCATAATCGATGGCTTGGCAAGAGCTGGTTACATCGACAATGCAAGAGAACTCATTGGAAACATGCCATTTGTTCCCATTTCTTTGGATTGGCTGTGCCTTTTAGCTGCATGTCGGAGCCTCGAGTGTGGAACCTGCGTATCAAAATGGGTGTCTGGAATTGCGAGCAGCAGAGCTATGTATCCTCTCCTGGCAAATGTATGGGCTTGGCATTGATAGAATCTAAGGAAAAAATAAACTGCTGCCTGGATTATGTTGTCAAATTGCTCGAGAATTTGAGACTAGAAGTACCAATTGCGTTTCATGCTTACAAAATGGGAAAAATACAAATCATTTGTCTATATAACACCCATCATTCCCAGGATGTGAGCGTGGACCTCCTGGACCAAATCATCAGAGGCTCTGAGAGATCGTGAGCAACTTCAATCAGACAGATACCTTGCAATACCTAGCGATTGAGGTGTGTGGAAAGTGCAGCAGGCGAAAATTGTGTTTGATGATCCGCCTGAGGGAATGTGTTTGATTCTATGCGAATGTTCTCAAAACTCGTCATGGAAAACTAGAAAACGATCAATGTTTAATGCCTGACGACGATACTTGCTGCCATGATAGGTACTAACAAAGCAAATATTTCTTTGCCCCACGATGCTCACACGTCGGAGCGATGGAGATACGCGATGCCCTCGTCATGGCAGCGTGGGGCTGCCTTCTTTGCAATCGATACTCCAGCTGACTCGATCCAACGCCTTGGACTCCTCCAAATCATGTGGTGCTTCGGTATCCGGCCTAGTGTCGCTGTACCAAAGGACGATTAAGTCAATGCAAATGCTACGTCCATTTCACCCATGTTTTGTATACACTTCCTTACAGATTGGGCTTCACAAGAATCTTAGACAAGCACGCTTGATTCCTCTGACAACAGCACGCAACGTAGCTCCGACCTCTCAAACTCCTTGAAGGATCGGTCACCAGTGATGTAGAACACAAAGGCGGGAGGGGACTTGTCAAGGATGTACATCACGGCTCCAAGAGGGAGGCAGAGCATGGAGACGTGTACCGCAGCGAGTGCTGCCACTAGCCAAGCGTAAAGAAAGCCATAGCTTGGGTAAAGTGTCCAGGCCTTCCCGGGTACTGGGAGTGCCATGGCGAAGACCGAGTCAGAGATACCTTCCCTGCCAAAGAAACAGAAGAATATTAGAGAGCTTTGATTGATCAAAACTGTCACACCTGTAATCGAATGTCTGGAGATATGGATCTACAACCGCTGAAACGCCTCCCGTGGAGCATCGAAACCAACTAAAGCCATTCTCCACAACACGGAAAGCATCGGCCTCTATCACCCGGGGACCAGTTGGTCCCCAAGTCGCGGCTGGTTGGAGCATGATATCAATCCTAGCACATTCACGAGAAATTTAGAGAACACCGTCATAACTTCGCTCTACCTCTTTTTCCCGGCCTGCCGCATCAGGTCTGGAAACTCGAAATCATAACAAATAGCTCCTCCAATCCACCCGAGCTCGGTCTTGATGGCAGGAAGAATGGGATCCCCTGGAGTTCCATACCACTCCATGAATGGAACCAAGTGGGATTTCCTGTAGCTAAATCCAATGGAGCCATCGGGAAGAACGAGGTCGAAATAGTTCCCGACGCTCGCGTCCTTGTACTCGTAAGTGATGCCAACGTAGGCACCGTGCTGGGAAGCGATCTGTCCGGCTTTGAATTGGAGAGAATCCCTCTCCTGTTTGAGGTCGAGTTTCACCGCAGCCTCGGACCAGAGGACCAATCGATCGCCGGCTCGGAGGCGCTGGCTCGTCCTGTTGAGCATCACATCCATGTCCTCGTAGAAGAGGAGCTTGCCCAGGACGCAAGAGACCGGCACTGTTTTCTTCATCGTGAGGGCGATGTCCTTCTGGAAGAAATCCCCCGAGAAAATGGAGACCCTGGCGCTGCCGTAGAACAAGATCGAGAGAGCAATGGCTCCAAACGCCAGGGAGTGGCCGCGATGCAGCTGCGTAGCACGCTTCTTGTCGGATTTCTCCATCTTGGAAAGATTCTCGTCGAGAACGGCCCTGTCGTGGAGAATCGCCGAGAACCACGCCATGAGGAATGCGATCCCATCGATCCCCCACACGCCGGCGCTCATCACCAGCGGCAAGATTGTAACCTGGGAAACGGCCGGATGGAGGAAGGAGCCGACGCCGCCGAATCGATTCCACAACAACCACGCCGTGGTCCAGATCGACGCGAATACCAGCGGCTGGGAGATTCTTGCTCGATCAAAACGCTTCCTGTAGCCGATGCTTGCAAGAAATGGGAGGAGAAGAAACATCCACAGCAACAGTGCCCAGATTATTCCCACAATTGGCACCCTGCTGGCCTTGGAGTTGTCCGGGCTCACCTTTCCCGGGAAGAATGCCAAGAATGCCAGGCTCGCGGCGGTGGTCTGGAGGAGGAGCGCCAGGAGAATTGTGAGCGCTGCGGAGCGCCATGAGCAAGAATTGCGCGAAATCCCTGACTTGAGGAAGAAATGCAAGAGGAGAAATGGCTGGAGCCAAGAACAAATGGCAACGTTTTGGAATCCGGAGAAGATGGTGCATGCAGCCGAGAAAATGACCAACAGTGCCACCTTCGTCATGTCTCTTGGTGCTTGTTTGAATGTAGGTGGTAATTTATATTCTTATTATATTCATCAAAAATTAAA